AGACAGCACAAAATATTTATAAAATGTTTACAAAATATTTATAAGATTTATTTGAATATTTTTATAAATATTTTAAAAATATTTTATAAATATTTTAAAAATATTTTATAAATATTTTAAAAATATTTTATAAATATTTTAAAAATATTTCATAAATATTTTTGACTTTAGTTTCAATAGATCATAAATATTTATCATAAATATTATAAAACTATTAAAATGTATATATTCACACACACACACACACGCGCGCGCGCGCGCGCGCACGCACACACACACAACCAATTTAAATTTCGATTTTCTTATTTCTTCATTAATTTAATAATTATAAATAATTATATTTATTTTTTCATATGTAATATTTATAGAAATATTTACAAAATATTAATTTTTTGTTTACTATAAATATTGTATAAAATATTTATATATTTAGTCTATATTTTAATCATATTTTGGATAAAGATTTTCATACTTTTTCCTTTCTCTCTTTATGAACATACATATTTATAAAATATTATATAATATTTTAAAAAAGTAATTCGAAATAAATATTTATAAATATTTATTTCGAATTACTTTTTTAAAATATTATATAATATTTTAAAAAAGTAATTCGAAATAAATATTTATAAATATTTATTTCGAATTACTTTTTTAAAATATTATATAATATTTTAAAAAAGTAATTCGAAATAAATATTTATAAATATTTATTTCGAATTACTTTTTTAAAATATTATATAATATTTTAAAAAAGTAATTCGAAATAAATATTTATAAATATTTATCACATATTGTGCTGTCTGGGTTAATACTTTAAATATTGACAGTACTTTAGGTAAGTATTTCATCACTTAGCAAAGTATTACATATTTAAATATTAACAATGCTTTTCGTAAGTATTTTATGAACGAAGTATTATATATCAATATTTAAATATTGAAATCAATCATAAGATAATATTTGTAGGACTAAACACTGAAATGAAACTTGAATACTATGAGCTGTATTTAAATCACAGAATATTACTAACACTGTACTTTTAATACTGAAAATAAGTAATTAAACAATGATTCTCAGTATGATATTTCTGTAAGAATGCACGTCGCCTCCATCTCGATCAGCTGATTGAGTGCAAGGCTTACTGCGGATTTGCTGCCAATTTGCTCTCGTGTCTTGTGTGCAAGCGTTGCTCGATGTTTTGTGCCTATTTGGTGCAAAGTTATGCGCTGCAAAACTTGCGCAGTTTTTGTTGCAAATTTGCTGCATGTTTCCCGGCACCAAGCCTTTTTGCATATTTGGTGACAGTTTGCCAGCAGAATTTAATAACGTAAAATTTGTTGCAAATTTATTGCCTGTTTGCCATTAACACTTGATGTCAACTCTTGCGCGGAATTTGCTCGCTCAGTTTTGGCTGTCTGGGAATATGAATTTAAGCACAGAATAACTTTAAATGTAATAAATAGAAGATTTTGTGTTAGGAACGTTCAGGAAATTTTGTGTTAACGTTCAGGAAAGTAATATTTGAAGATTATGATAACATTGTCATCATGTTTATAAACGTTCTTAAAATATTCCCGTTAATATTATATTTAATATTGGTATAATATTTTTGTGCTATTAGGGTACATACTGAGGAAGCGGATACTAACATGTTAAAGAGACATAAATGCAGTGTTTACTTATAATGTTATAATTATCATATGTAATTTAAACATTACTACAATCTTCAAATTGATATCAAAGTTTGTTGTAAAAATATTCTGTACAATATTGAAAACGATATATTTCAAAACATTATATATTATTGAATAATATCATAATAATATTACTGTAATATTTTTTTGTTTACTGGATGTACGTTGATAAAGATTAAAGAGAAAACTTTGAACTTTACTGTAGTTCCAATAAATTTAGCAAAAAATAAATTTTTTAACTTGATGGAATGGGTCAAAAATAATAATTTGTGAAAAACAGAATGTCCTTTGCTTTAACAAGGTATAACTTTGTGAAACAAATTCGTTTATTTATCAAAAACACTTTAAAATAGAATTTTTGTTCTTCATAACGCTTTTCTTAAAATAGTTCTATGTTGTTTTATTTCGAAACTGCTGGTTCAAAATCTAGCTTTTTTACAAGAACATTCTCTATTTTGTTTTGATGGTTGTATATCAAAATATAGCGCAATAAAGACTAACTCGAAAAATGCGAAGCTGGTAAAAATTTCGTTTTCTCTTTTCTTTTCTAATTATTTTGAATACGCCTTAAGTTATTGAATTGCGGCACAATATGGCACAAATATAATACAATGCAGCACTTTTGATAAAAATACAGAATTCGAAAAATATAACGCTGACTATATACAGATATTTTTTTGGATGGGTGTATGTTCAGTCATGCGGTTTATTTGTCAGACGTGATTCCTTCTGATTATAATTTATTTAGATATTAAGAACATCACCAAGCGAATAGTTGAGAACAATTAACGATATATAAAAATATATCTATATTTTTACTACCTTAATTACACCAAGTTTCTATCGCACGGCGATTCATAAATTATCCAAAAATAGTGTAAAATCATCAACAATAATGTAAAATACTTCAATGATTGAGTTCTTGTTTTAGTGAAGTTTTGATCTTATTAAAAAAATCGGAAAGAATCAATTTCTACACCTAATGCAACTAATACACCTAAATTGGGTCTTATAATCAGGTTAGGTAAATAATGATTAATGAATACAGATTTAAAAATTTGTGATAAGAATAAAATATTACTTAAATATGTATGATATTTGGATGTTTTATTATTACCTGAGTGTGTCTTCCTGATCTAATCGTGCGAGTATATATTGTTGAACGTCTCTGATGACTTGAGATTTTCTGAGGTCGTCCAACGAAATCTTACGAAAGCCAGTGAACATACGTGAGATAGTTTTACTCTGTCGTCGAGCAGTACAAACTAACAAAAGCCATTGTGGGAATAAGTGATGATGATTGGCTAATAACTCAGCTATCGTACGACTGACATGATCATTTTCTCTTCTAGAATCCCTAGTATTAGTCAATGGTGAATTTAATATTTGGCCTTCGTCGATGGAATCTACCAGTAAAAAGAGACTATTTTTTGGTGGCTCAACTTCTAATAATGGGAACAGTAGAGCTTTTTTCAAAGCATTATCTGGGTCTCTGTCTAAAACATCCGGCTGCAATACGGCCTGTATCTCCAGATCGGTTTTCAATTTCTCAGCATATGCCTCAGCGACAACATCTTTAGAAGTGAGAATTGTAGTCGTAGATACTGTAGTCGCAGGCGTTGTTGCTGTCATAATTGTCGTTTTAATAGTCTCGGATATTGCTGTATTTGTAACATCTGTTGTAGACGAAGTTAATATAGATGACGATCGATGCATTCTATTAGAGCTGATCTGAAGTAATTGCGCGACTAAAGATCGAACGAATTGAGCAGGTGACAGAGAAGCTTCGCTTCTAGTTTGACAAAAGTGCCGAGCCAATAATCTGCGATTTAAAGATCTTTGATATCTTGCGGAAGTGCCATTAGAAGGCCAAGCTAACTCGGCACAAAGCGCCGTTTTTCCACTTCCTGGCCCGCCCACAATTAAAATACCACATGTTTTCGATACTGGTCGCTGTTCTAGGCAGTGAGAGAGTTTCATGAAAGCCCATTCTCTACAGAAAAAACGTTTCTTCTCGATCACTGGTGCCGTCATATTGAAACCTTGATATATGTTATCTTAAATATTTTTTTGTCTTGGTCACATATATACACATACATGTAATTTTTATGTCTGTCACGCTTAGTTAGATTTTTTTCTTGTTCAGATTATATACTTCAGATTATATCATTTATCATTTGCTTATGAGAAAATTACTTCTCATAAAAGAATTAATATACATACATCTTTGGCATAATTTTCAATATATTCCTAAATTCAAGTATTTGTAAGTATTTGGTGCCTGCTTCAGGTAGAATAACCTTATCAAACAATGCGAATGCTATCTGAATGATTATTCTAATAAATTTCATTTTTTTTTTAGTAATCTAGATTTGATTTTGCTCTCTCAGCTTCTATGATTAAATGCAGTTTTGAGTATTTGAAACTGCAAGTAATTGAGATATAACTTGTTAAAGGCTAAGCTGTATTGTTAATTTGAAATAACGTGATGCGATAGTTTATGTTTTTAAGTGCACCAACAAATCTGACTGGAGTTCCAATGGAATATTGCAAGCCCCTGGGGGCTCTGAGACTTCTTCTGACTCCATTCAGGTTTCTCATCGTTTTACTAACGAATAATAAGTTTTCCACATTTGCTACCTGAAACAAAACAAAAACTTATTGGAATCCTTTAATAATATATCCCACATAGCACAAAATGTAACAGTGACATCACAATAACGTTACTCTATGACAATAAACTATATCACAATGAAGTCATAGCAAAGTCACGGTGACTTGCGAATGTCCGCTTTGTCACATGTGTGATATCAGAGCATTGTCAATATTGAAATACTAATATGTAATATAAGGTGTAGTAAAAAGAAATCTATTATTTTTGCATAAAATTGAAAGCTTTATTTAGCATAGTTAGAATAATCCGATTTAGATCAAATGTGCACCGTTTTGTTCAAAAACTTGTTGCCATTTTGAAGGTAATTCCATTATGCCTCTCTCATAGAAACCCTTGTCCCTATTGGAAAAAAACTGGGACAGTCGATTTTCACAAGCTTCTCTTGAGGCGAATTTTTCACCAGCAAAATCATTCGCCATAGACAGGAACAGGTGGTAATCACTTGGTGCCAGTTCCGGACAATAAGGTAGATGCATAAGAACCTCCCAATCAAGCTCCCGGAGCTTCTGGCGAGTCACTATCGATGTGTGTGACCTGGCGTTGTTCTGATGGAACACAATTCCTCTCCTATTGGCCAAAGCTGGCCGCTTCTGGGCGATTGATTCCTTCAGACGGTCCAATTGTTGACAGTACAGGTCCGAATTAAGAGTTTGGCCGTAGGGGAGCAGCTCATAGTGGATGATTCCCTGCCAATCCCACCAAACACACAGCAAAGCCTTCCTGACCGTCAATCCTGGCTTGGCCACCGTTTGCGCTCACCGCGTTTCGACCACGACCGTTTTCGCTTGACGTTGTCGTAAGTGACCCACTTTTCATCACCAATCGCCATCCGCTGCAGAAATGGGTCGATTTTGTTGCGATTCAGCAGCGATTCGCAGATGGAAATTCTGTCCATGAGGTTTTTTTGCGTTAACTCGTGTGGCACCCATACATTAAGCTTCTTTTTGTATCCAGCCTTATTCAAATGGTTCCAAACAGTTTTTTGTGCAATGCTTAGCTCCTGGGCAATCGAAACAATGCTTACATGACGATCGAACTCGACGATTTCCATTATTTTATCGACATTTTCGACAATTGGCCTTCCAGAGCGTGGTGCATCTTTGACATCAAAATTACCGGAACGGAATCGACGAAACCAAAATTGCGCCTGATTGGCTGTTACGGTATCAGGACCATAAACACTATTCACATTTTCAGCCGCCTGGCTTGCGTTTTCGCCTTTATCGAAGAAAAACTGTAAAATATGGCGTATTTTCTCTTTGCTGATGTCCATCTTTGACGCGCGCTCAAACAATACTGAGTCAAACAATCACAAAACTGTTTGAGAAGTTTTTTTAGTACGAAATCTTATCTTTCTAACGCCATCTAGCGTAAACCGATCGCACTTATACAACCCGAGATACACATTACTAAAGCCATCTATTGGAAAAATAATGGATTTCTTTTTACTACATCTTGTACTTTGCTAAGTGATGAAATATTTACGTAAAATACTGTCAAGATTTAAAGCATTAACCAAGACAGCACACAATATTAATGATAAATATTTATAAATATTTATTTAGAATTATTTTTTTAAATCTTATATAAATATTTTTTTATATATACATAGGGAGAGAGAGGAAAAGTATGAAAATCATTATTCAAAATATTATTAAAATTTGGGCTAAATATCTAAATATTTTATACAATATTTATTGTAAACAAAAAATTAATATTTGCAGCAATATCTTGTAAATATTTCTATAAATATTACATATGAAAAAAATAAATTTAATTATTAAATTAATGAAGAAGAAAATCAAAATTTAAATTGGCACACACACACACACACACACACACACACATACACACACACACACACACACACACACACACACACACTTGCGCACACTCGCGCTAACTCGCGCGCGCACGCACACACACGCGCGCACACACACACACACACACACACACACACACACTAAAAAATTGCTTTAAATCAAAGAAATATATTTTGTTAAATATTAATTTCTTAACTTAAAAAAATATTTGATAGATGCTAGAAAACATATAATAAATATAAATATAAATATAAAGAAATATTTTTTTTTATTTGTAAAATAAGCTATAAAATTTTGAATATCTAGAAAAAAAATGATTTATTTGATTTAAAATATCTATATATAAGAATATGTAAATAATTTCCTTACAAGACCAAAATTAGTTTTTTAAATATAAAAACTGTGTATAAATAAATATTTGCTTGTTTTAAAAGTAAATAAAATAAAAGTAAATCATTTTATAAATCTAAATAAATTATTTTCTAATATTAAAAGTATCTTTTTGTGTTTAAAGTTAAAGTATCTTTTATTATCAATAAATAATTTATTTAAATTTACAAAATAATTTATTTATATTTTACTTACTTTTAAAACAAGTAAATATTTTTAAATATACCTTTTACATACTTTTTAAAAACATAATTTTTACTTTTAAAAAGATTTATTCTCTTCTTTTCAATAAATCATATTTTCGTACATGGATATACCATATGTATACAATACGAAGCCTCTTTCTGTCAAAGTAACAGTGGTGCAGTAGGTCAGGTGAACGATTCAAGAACCAGAAGTTTCAGGTTCGACTCTCAGCAATGCTCATACAGCATAGAAGCATGCAGCTACAACGTTGCAAGATTGCTACATTACTACAACGTTGCAAGATTGCATATTGCAGTGCAATGTTGCAGAGACATTGTAATGACATTAATTTTCAATATTACTTTAGCAATATTTCAAAAAATTTACGAATATAATATAATATTTTTTATTTACTTACTAGTTATTTTTGTTACTTGTATTTCAAATTTAGTAATGTTTCATATCAATAGTGCTTATAGAATCGTACTTAGAATAGTACTTGTTAGTAGCAGTCATTAATACTAGAATTTTTCTTATTGCATATTTCTTATACTTCTTATATCTTTTTTCGGAGAAAACACTTTTTAATATTTGATTTAATATTCGTCTCCTCTACAATTGAGTTCTCCTCTACAACTAGGAGCCTCACTCTTGCCGGTACATTAGAAAAAGACGGTAAGTACCAGGGAACTACCTTTAGTGTCCCCTATGGCACATGGGAAAACGTAGTCGTCCAAGCCAGTATCAAGATAATTCTCAAGAATTATTTAATCCGGATCAAGCTTTCCTCAAATTAAGTTGTATTACCCTCTAGAGTTCGGTGCAAGGCCACCGACCATGAGTGCTACAATATTGATAGCACTATTACATACTGGAGGACCTCACCAAAAGACAGTTGCGAATTTGACCGATACGATGTTCTTTACGAAGGATGAGCTCACAAACTCTCGCCGCCACCAGGACAAGATGACGGGCTAATAATCTACACAGTTACGACGAAGCAACCTTCGCTTTAACAAAATTATCCGAATCAAATCTCTGCGGATATAAAATTAGTCACACGGAACATCCGAACTGTTCATTTTGGAAACAGTGAGGGATCGCATCTTCAAAACCAAAACGGACATAACGGCAGAAAATTTCGACATGTTCACCTATGTAAACTCCAAGTTCGTGCACATAGAACGCCACATGAAAAACCAGCTGACTCGCTTATACAGGGACATCATGACACAAAAATGTGCCCTCGAAAGGCAAGTGCTCGAAAATTGCGCGCTATCTTTGTCCAGCATAGCACCAGATGAAATGGCGCACTAATGAAATCGAATATTAAATCGAATATAATAACTGATTTAATTTTATGGTTTTTTTTTGTTTCACTAAAATATTATATTCTTAAACAAAATATCATGTTTTAAAATGATGAAAATAAAAACTTTTTGTTCAAGGAAATCATTCTATTTGATAAAACCACACTATTGTTTTAATTAGTATTTTTTAAAAGTTTCTTTCAAAATTTAATAATTCGATTTGTTTAATTTGGATTTCCTTGAATTTTTTATTCCTTTTTGTTTGGATTAATCATTATAACATTCTATTAAAAATTTAAAAGTAATTATCACTGGTTCACTATATTACATCAATATTCATCGTATATTATATATCGAATATTGTTGCATTGTTTCAATATCAATCAGCAAATTACCAAATAAAAATTATGTAACTATTATTTACTGTTTGCTAGATATGTTATAACATACTGTGAACACTATAAGGATACATTATATAAGCATAAATCGTAAGAATATCGTTGGAATCATCGGAAATCGCCGCGTACCATTCGATCGTCAGATTAAGCAACACGTTAACGGAGTCGGGACATAGATAGGTGACCAGTGGTATACCGCTTGGGATCGAAATTATCTCAGGAGGATTCACGAAAGTTTTGGAGTGTTTGGCAACTTTCGATACCTAGTGGTTTATGAAACATGAGAAAATTAGAAATATATAAATATATTTTTTTAAATATTATGATTTTCTCATTTTTCATCGTAGTACAATAATTCTCAGTACTTGATTACTATCAATATTTAACAGTGTCAATATTTAACAGATTTCATTATCAGTATTCACCAAAAATTAAATATTGGCTACAAAATTACTGAATTACTGATAATATTTAATCATTAATAATTTTTCAGTATTTCTTAATATGGTATTTATGTAAGGGCAAGGGCCGCGAACGCGTCGAAAAGCAGAGAGGCGAGGATCGCAGGGTCGATAAAATGACCAATTATATCGATATAAATTATGTTAATAAAAAATATGTAGAAAGATATGTCGGTAAAAACAGATCGCAGTATCGATAAAAATTATGTCAGTAAAGAAAATTAAATATACCGGTAAAAACATACCGGTAAAAAATATGCCGGCAAAAATTACCGACCGTTGGTAAGTCCCCCTGCTCCGCGCAACGTCATCCCTCGCGCCATAATTTCCCTCGCCCCCCACGCCCCTCAAAGGACACTAATTAAAACCCTCACTGTATACCTACTGGTATCCATGAG